AAAAAATGACAGAATGAAATGACAGTGTGATAACGGATTAAAAAATGACAGATTGAAATGACATAGTGTGATAACGGATTAAAAAATGACAGATTGAAATGACATATTGTGATAACGGATTAAAAATAACAGATTGAAATGACATAGTGTGATAACGGATTAAAAATTGACAGATTGAAATTACATAGTGTGATAACCGATGGAAATTATTACCGAACGGAGTAGTAAACAAGTAGAAGAGTATCCGAGCTGTCCGGATACGATGAATCGTATAGGTAAATAACGGATTAAACAATGGATTTAATTAAATAACGGATTAAACTATGGATTTAATTAAATAACGGACTAAACAATAGATTTAATGAAATAACGGATTAAACAATGGATTTAATGAAATAACGGATTTAATTAAATATCGGATTCAAATAAATAACGGAGAGGGGGACCGTGCGATTGAATGTAGCTTGCTAGAGTGTTTGAGAAGAATCATGACAGAAAACCTGATGTCCCGGATACAATGGATCGCAGTGTAACGTGGGTTTAAATTTTAACTCGCCCGATGACCGGATACAATGGATCGCAGTTCAACGTGGTTTTAAAATTGAACCCTCCTAGTATTACGTAAATTGAGTCGGAGACTTTTGAGCTTGCAATTGGGGATGGAGGGTAAGCGGCGTCGATTAGACTTTCGATTTTTTAAACTTAATTTTGCGTTCTCCTCTGCGACATCACAGCCGTTAAGAATAAACAAATAAACAAATAAATAAAAATAAAAATAAATAAATGAATAAATGAATAAATAAATAAATAATTTAAAATAAATAAATAAAAATAAAAAAATAAAAAAATCTAGGCTACCAGAGTGGCCCGGGGTCACTTGCCAGGCCGGGCCAAAAAAAAAAAAATAATAAAAAATAATTTAGAGTTTATCTTGTATTCTAAATTTGGTGAAGAATTTCGATGTGACCCTGAGGCAAAAGTTGTTCAGTTTATTTTTCTGCATAACACTTTTTTTTTCGGAGTTTTTGGATTTTTTTTTTTTTTTTTTTTTTGCTGGGACCTTCCCTGGTCCTTGCACGGGCTGGCCACCCGGGGCCCGGGCGGCCCGGCTGGTAGCCTAGATAAAAATAAATAAATAAATAAATAAATAAATAAATAAATAAAAATAACTTAAATAAATAAATAAATAGCATGGTCTCTGCACATTCAAGGATATGACAACACATAAATCAAGCAATAGTCCAAAGAAAGAAAAGAAGAAACTCAATAGAAGAAGATATTTACGGCACGTTATTCAAATTACGCCGCCAATTGATGAATGAACTGTGATGCTTGTAAAAAGTGTGAGGTGGATCAGTTTATCCTCTTTTGTCGTCATGCGATAGTTTTTTTTTTGGTTGCTTTTTTATTGTCGAAAATAAAACGCTGCGGGATTTTAGTCATACAATATCCCAGTAGCTCGTAGTTTTAATTGCGGTTATTAAAAAAAAAAAAAAAAAGGAAAAAAAAGAAAAAAAAGAAAATGAGTTTGTAGGACTGTGGCGCGCGATGTGGTGATGCCTGTACATACTGCGAATGGTTCCTCCTTTCCCCCCCCGCCCCCCCCCCCCACACACACACCCCGATAAGTAACATGCCAATTGGACTGTTGAGCCTGAGTCTCCCACTAGCACGAAAATTGCAAAATAAGTTAAATAACTATCGAGAAATATATAATGTGTGTCCTAATTTATCCATTTATGAGGAAACTGTGCCTGTGACACACTTTTAGTCCTTGTAGTTAAAAAAAAAAGGCAAGAAAAGACAAACTGGCGCCGGTATCATGGTGTGAGTTTCAAAATGTCCAAGTTTAGCGGGGGTCTAGAATTGCACCAGTAAAACTGCCCGCAGTGGAGCGCGTGGCAGATGTATGGTGTGAGTTTCGAAATGTCCAAGTTTAGCGGGGGTCTAAAACCTCACCAGTAAAACCTGACCAGTAAAACCGCCCCAGTAAAACCGCACCTGTAAAACTGCCCGCAGTGGAGCGAGTGGCAGATGTAGTAGGGTCGATTTTTTTTCGGTTCCACTTCCGAAACTGCCCAAGTTGCCCGCAGTGGAGCGCTCCTGAACGATGTGGGGTGTGACTCCACCGTACTTAACCGGTTATTGATTTAAAAAGTAATATATGTTTTTCAAACTTTTTCTCTTTTAAAGGGGGAGAATTCAGGTAGCCATTGGGGGACTGACCCGCACCAGGTAATTCAGAATTATGTGATTTCATTCATTCAAGCCAGTTACTCGGGATTCGAACTTGGGTCTGTATTTCAGCAGTTCATGGGTGTACCAACTGAGCTAGACCAACACCGGTGCGAGTGCGAGGCTCCATCTATTGGTGGGAGCATCACCTGCTGGAAAACGCCGGGTCCTGGACCAGCGTCCCTTTACAAAATGAATACAGAATGATGCATAGAAGGGAAATTGGAAGATGTCTGGAGGGTGCCTGCCAGGCTGGGCATTGATTGCTCTGGAAATCAGAGGATTGACTGAGCAGGTGTGAACATGACCCGAATCGTGGAACTGAGAGCTGGTGGTCCTCATCTCCCTCTCCAACCCTGTGCCTGGTCAGGGTATCGGGAGGAGCCACTGGGGGGAACCAGTGGGTATTCCTACCTGTCTCCCTGCCATCCCCCAAAAGCACCTACCCTTCGCCACTGTCCTCCGTCGGTCCTGCCCTGATGCCACACACCCACACTGGCAGAGAATTTGAAGCAACATGGACTAAAAGAAACAGACTGAGGCTGAATGACAAACACTGACTAAAACTGACTACAACACAACATGACTGAAACACAAGCTAAAAAGCAGAAAAACAGACGACAAGGCAGACTGAAATGGCTAGACTGAGTGAAAAAGGACTGAACTTGAGCAGGTGGGGATGGAAAGGAGGTGGTTGGGAATCGGGGGGGGGGAGACTCTTCACCCTGGTACTGGCACCGGATTCCTGATGTTGGCTGGGTCAAGATTTTAAAGAGAGGGGTTAATAAGATAAAAGGGTAAGTATGTTCATGTCACCTTCGAGTATCGAATGGGCAAAAAAAACACGCGTCGGCAAAGAAAACCGCGCCGAGTTTGAAAAGGCAACGGAAGTACCGACTGCCAAGGTGTCAGACCGGGTGTCATATTACAGGAGTCGGCCGTGGTGTCAGAGGGCAAAACAAAAAAGAAAGGAAAATGCCCAACGGATACTTTTGGACTACAGGAGTCGGCCGTGGTGTCAGAGGGAAAAACAAAAAAGAAAGGAAAATGCCCAACGGATACTTCTGGACTACGATCGCTCATTTCGAGTTGACGCGTGGTTTCTTTGCCGGCACAAGTATTTTTTGCCTTTAGGGTTTCAAAACATGCCGCGTCAGCCGTTATTTCTAAGATAAACAAGTAAAGCCAGTTACTGCCCTCATTTTCCCGGACGACCCGCTGACGGAAAACCTCTTCCGGGTGGGCAGACAAACTATTCTTTGGGTGATATGGTGGAAAAGGTGCATCTTGGAAATTGAGGGGGCATGGGTGGAGGAGGGGGAGGTAACTGAGGTCACTGGTGAGGTGGCTAGGCAACTGGTAAAGCAGAGATTACTAACCAGTGGCAGATAGCCGGACAGCGAATGAGCTGCGTGCATACCAGGCAAGATGTTGCTTCTGCGAGGAATGGTTGGGGGGAAGAAGGGGGGGGACGGATGGCAGACGTGTTTTGGTCAGGGGATGACTCCCATGGAGAGGGAGGGGAGGCAGGGAGAGACATACACAGAAATTAGAAGTTGCCCTTCCGGGACTGGGCTGCGATTGATCCTGGCGTCCCCCTGAGACCGGTGACAGACTTCCTGGATCCTCTCGGATCCTTTTCCCCCCGCCCATTATCACTGGTGGAAGTGGAGAGCAACGGGCGGAATAGAAAGAACAGGTCTCTGGGTGAGGCCATTCAAGCTTAAAAAAAAGTGTTTGAGATTCTCAGCACATGATGCTCCCCACTAAAGGACCAAACCTGTGTTAAAAAAAGAGACTGAGAGCCTGGAAAAAGGGACGCTGAGCCTGGTTCTCAGCACAAGGTTTCCTTTGCATGATAAACCGCGCGAGGATAGCATGCAGATAGCATGAGGATAGCATGAGGATGGCTCAGAGATAGGAGAACCTTGGGGCGGGCAAGGAGATGGAAGGAGGACCCACTGGTGCCCCCCGGTGGCTCCTGCCGATATTCGGCCAGGCCACGGGTTAGGAAAGGGCAGAAATTTCCGGAAAGGGCTGCTATGGGACGCTGGACCCGGTTTTCAGCATGTTAGTGGTTTCTTCTCTGATGGTTTCATGTTCATGACATTGTTTTTCTCGACCCTTCACCTTCGTATTTTCAAAGGGACTCTGAGCCCGGTTCTCGGCACCTGAAGCTCCCCTCAAATAGATGGAGCCTGTGTTAAAACAAGTAAAGCTGGGACCAGGACTCTGGTTCTAAAGCGGGGACCAGGACTCGGATGCAGAAGGGAGCAGTTTTGATCAAGTTGTGGTTTTATGGTGCTGTTGTGGTTTTGCAGGATCTTTTTCGTGCAGGTCTGGTGAGGGTGCACATATACAACAGGATTAAAGAGCATTTTCAACACCTTCGAATACACTGCACGGCGCGTGACTGGCGAATAGACAGTAAGAGGAATACCCACATCAAGCAGCGGCAATGGCGGTAGAATATGACGTAAGGGAGGACAGTGCAGAATGCAAGGTGGCGATTCCTCCAAAGCGTGCGATTCTGGATGATGCCATGTCCATATTGCCAGTGACAGCTGCGCGTGATCCCTTCAAGGACTTCAGGGGCAAGCGGCGGAGAGAGCAGATCAAGCTTCTTATCTATAGCATATTCCCGATCGTGGAGTGGATTCAGCGGTATTCCTGGAAGCTTTTTCGAGACGACCTCATTGCTGGCCTTACGATTGCTAGTCTTGCTGTTCCTCAGGTGTGTATCCGGTGCAATGCCAACCAAGAACACAAGTGAAGGACTCAGGGCGTACTCACACTACTGCCGTCTTCACCCGAATATAACGCCCGGTCATTATAGCTGTATTTGGGGCATTCTTGACCGGGCGTTCTATTCGGGTGAAAACGGTAGAACTTTTTTGACTTAATTCTGGATGACGGTGGACGTGATGGCAGTGAGAACACATCCATGCCTCATCGTAATGGCAGTCAGATACATTTACAAAAGTGCTTGTGTGAGTATTCCCTCTGATGGGTTTAATGTCTGCTCATCGATATTACATTTATGATTGAGACATCTTGCTTTGCATTTCCACAGGTATTTTGTCTCTCTTTCATTACTTTGTAGGATGATTTCTTGATCTTACTGCCATCCTTTTGGTGCAGGGGCCATATGCTTATCTCTTCTTGAGCCACAATGAGGCCCGCACCGGCTTGTTTTTTTTTGGCATGCAGGGCGATTTTCGGGTCGGCATCGCTGGGTGAGAAAGGTAGTGGTGGGTTAAAGTAGTTTTTCGACGCTCCCCCCTTCCCCCCCCCCTCCCTCTAATGCTAGAAGTTTTCCACAGTTATGTCCCAATTTGAAAGAGCTGGAGTTCCGCCCCCCCCCCCCCCCCCCCCCCCCCCCGAAAAAAAATAATTGAAAAAGAAATAATCATGGGCTTCTTGACAGGTTGTTAACTTGTAAGACACCCTGAAGATGCCAGTAGCCGGACCGGCAGAGAAGCGTTGGGGGACACCAGCAAGCTCTGTGACATGTTTACCCATATGTGTACGAGTGAGTGAACTTCGAGTCGGTACTTTCGCTCTCTTCTTGTGGCGCTGACGTCCATCGATGCTTTCATTCGCGTCTCCTATATCATTTGATAATTTTTAGTTGAAGCTTGATGACATCATTCTTTTTTGGGTTGATTGCAATACATCCTATCTCTCTTGTTTTCTACGCTCTGGTTGAATCGCCAGTAAGTCGTGGTTGTACACAAGCTGCAACATGCTGTGGGATGAATGGGCCTTCATTCAAGTGGAAACGTCATGGCACTGTAGCGAAGGCTGGCGGTATCAAGCCACGATTTCTGGAAAGGAAAAAAAAAGCTACGTATGGATGGACAGCTTACGTATGGATGACACTTTTATGGGGATTTGTCTGGCTTTTGGTTTTATACAGGACCTTGCTTATGCGAAGCTGGCCCATCTGCCTTCAAAATATGGCCTGTGTAAGTGACTCCTTCTCAAAAAGGACATCCTGATTGGAAAGAAAAGGAAATTTTAAAGCAAAGAAAAAGAAGAAGAAAAGACAGTGTAAGATTTTTATTTTTTTTTCATTTTTTTTTATTTTTTATTTTTTTTTAAAAGAAAACCCGCCTCCACCGGTATTAGTGCTGCTGATAAGAGCAGACACCACTAACACCAGGGGGGGACTCCATCTATTGGTGGGGAGCATCACCTGCTGGACAGTGTAAGCTAGCTACTCAAAGAGGGAAAATTTGAAGTTTTGATTTAAATAGAAAATAGTGGCGCATCACGTGTTTGAGTTGCACACGTGCAGCGCATAACGCATGCGCATGCATGCGTGCACACGTGATGAGGCACACGGCCGCACACCACAGTAAATAGTGTCAACAAAAAAAAATCAGAAAGGGCAGGGTTTTTTTTTTTTTTTTTTTTTTTTTCCAAGTCCAGGGTCGTGTAGAGGCCAGATATTAGGCACATCCTTGAACGGGAAAAAAAACGGGGTCCACATCGTACTCCTCATTGGATTCAGTCTCATTACCGAAAGGCCCCTAGCAAGACATCAGCACGGGTCCTTCACAGCACCACGGGCATTCATTGAATTCTGGGTGAGACATGAGCAGGGCCGGAGTATGTATGTTCTGTATTCGAAGTCAGGCCTGTGTTCCAGCACTTATGGGTTACTACTAAAGACATTAGGGGGCTTGTTAGACACTCCTCAGGTGCGTAAAGTCCCCGAGGAAATTATTCGTTCCACCTGTCCACGGGGATAAAAAAAAAAAAAAAGTGAAAGCATCTCCGGGAATCCTCGGGGCGTCCTCAGGCTACAGCCATTTTGTGGCCTTCCCCTCGGAGGTCAAGGATCCGCGATAATCGGAGCGGTGAGGGCACCCGTCGTCGGCAAGAAATTTTCGTCGGCTGGCCCATTGGAGTTCCTACTGGGCAGCGACCGGACATCTTGGGTCTTCAACATTCTGCTTCCGGGAACCTTACGCCAACGGCTATTGGTGGTCGGCCGGCCCCCGCGGACGTCGTCGACCAGTGTTCTCCCTCGTAGTGCGTGCCGCCAAACGGAAAGGGGTCGAACGGTAGGCAAATTTGAATATTTTAGCCGACCCAAGTTTCTATTCCCAGCAGTGCTCCACGATTCAAAACATTAGGATGGTGTTTGCCGGATTCTGAAGTCTGCCGTTTGCTGCCCTCTTTTCGTCACCGTTTGCTGGAGGTGTACGGGCGCGGTGTACTTACTGCCCTTCCCCACGTGTCGTTCATGGCCGACGTCTTCCGAAGGCTGCCGCTGCTGTTCATGGTCATCATTGTGCGTGTCCTTCTCATCGTCTTCCACATCTGCATCCTCGGCAGGCTGCCTGGACGCACATGCAAGAGGCGTTTAGTGACGAAGGGCGTCATCATGGACGGGAGGCAGGCGAAGGATATGTCTTCAGTTGACCGTTTCGCAAGCCACTGGGCACGCAGCGTCCCGACAAGCACTGCAAGGGCGTACGACCGGTCTGCATACGCGCACCTGCCACTGCACGAACAACCACTGCCCGATACGTTAGATGAGGAGGCGGAGGAAGCACGATCACGGACTGTGGCGCTGGGGAGCGGGTCCACCCAGGAGTGGGCGGGGAGCCAGTTGTATGGGAATGGTGAGACGACACAGTCCTTCACCGAACTCGTGGAAGAGGGCATGCGTGAAAGGGACACGAATGGCGGCGTGAATCTTTCATTTGGGCTGTGTAGCGAGAGCTCATTGGCTGCCAAACATTTTGTCCGCGTTGACCTACAACCTGACGATGGCGTAGGGCAAGTGACGCTAGTCGGCCAGTCTGCAAAGGCTCCGTCCGGAGACTGGGTGGCATCAGATAAAACAAGGGAGCGTCCGAGAGTGCAGTCAGTGCCGTCATCAGCGGCATGTGCTGCTGCCGATCCAAAGTGGATGCAGCCTCCATCGTTGTTGTCAGGAGGTGCCGACAAGTGAAGCCCCACGCCTAACTGCGGGCCGACGGACGAAGATTTCGTGGGCGGTGGTGGGGAGTGGGATGGGAGGCAGGTGTGGGTGGAACATCAGCAACTGGTGCATCGACAACGTAACGACACACAGAGAAGGAGCCGCCGGTAGTGGACACCAACAATTACAAGGACGCCGCCGAGGACGAGGAACGGCAGGATGACGACACAGGCGCCGTTTGGCTGATGCGGAAGAAATCCATGGGTGGTCGGGGCAGGAACAGCAAGGCTTGTTGAGTGCGCAGCAGGTAAAGAAAGTGGCGCTTGCGGGGAGCGAGGAGGAAGGTGAAGTGGAGGTCGAGGGCGACCGGAACTTTTGTCAATCGAACACATGGTTGCCCTCAACACAGCGAAGCGGGACCAGGATGTGCATCTGTAGGGGATGGGCCACGCATACGCTTGCATGAAGCCGAGGGAATGAAAGTGGGCGGATTTTCAAGAGAGGTTGAAGAAGGTGGGCGTTGACATGACAGCAGTTAAGTGCAGGAAGAAATGGGACAACTTGATGCAGCAGTTCAAGAAGGTGCACCTGTTCAAGGGGGGGTCTGGGAAACATGACTTCTTTCAATTAATGGGCAAGGAGAGGTTACTTCAGTTTCACCATGGATCGGGCCGTGTATGAGGAGATCAAGGGGTGGACCGCGAAGAGTCACACCATACACCCAAAGAATGCCGCCGACACAGGCGGTTCGGGTGGTGTGCAGCTGCCGTTCGGATGTTCGGGGGGGCTTGAATCTGTAGACGATGGGGACGCGGTAGGTGACAAAAACGAAGAAGACGACATCTCCACGAAAGGTTCTTCACACAGTACTCACGCCGACCCCGCCAACGTTCAGTGGAAGGATCTTCCTTTCCGACATCCTCCACCAGCCGCCGCAGCCACACGACAAACCGCCCTCACCCCAACAACGTCATTCAAATTTTGAATTTCGAACCGGGACGTCCGTGCGTTGTTATTTTATTTTTTTATGGGTCGCCATGAAGATTCGAATTTTCCCGCCACTCGAAGCTGGACCACGCCCGTCCACACGGACAACAGCCCATGCGTCCAGCTTCGAGTGGCTGGACCACGCCCGTCCACACCTACCCCACCCCACCCCGCGGTCGGCAATAGTATTATGCGACTGGCCGCAGACCCTCCGTAGGAATCCTCCTTTAAAGACCGCCCCGAGGACGAGTGGAACGACGGCGGAAATTTTCTCGGGCGACCCGAAGGAAAACCCCTCGGGCCTCGAGGACGGCCCGAGGAGTGTCTAACGAACCGCCTACCTCTCTCTTCTTATGTGCACTGGCCCTAAAGGCCTTGTTCCAGGGTCCCATATGGAAATTTACATAGAATTTTGAAAGTTTGAGATATCGGGGCCATTACCCGGCTTTGGCTAAGAAAAATTTGAGCTACTTGAACTTTAGAAATAGGCAAAATTCAGAAAACGACTCAGAAACCCCCCATCAATCCTCTTTTACCTCACTCCGGCAAGACTTACTGCAGAAGAGCCACCATCTCCGCTGCTGCTATACCCTATTTCCATTTTACGAGCTAGCCCCCTCACTAGTAGGACGCTTGATATCCCACCATCTACTTCTCCCACTCACCTCTTTTCTTGAAACAAAAGCTCCTTTCTATTCGTGGGGAGCAACACGTGCTGGGAACCAGGCCCAGCGACCCATATCAAATTGTACAAATCTTTTGAGATACCGGGGTCATTACCCGGCTTTAACTGAAAAAACCGTCTGAGAACACTTGCGGTAATTCGGAAAGCATGGGAATAAGTTGGGACTTTCCTAATGACCAATTAAGGAACCACTCATACATTAAGCACCACGGAGGTCCTACAAATGCTAAAAAATCCTCGGAATCCCTAACAAAACCTTCCAAAGCTCTCCAACACTGTCTTACTCCCTGTTGAGCAGAGTTCGCAACTGGGATTTACTTGACACCCTCTTTGAGAACCAACCACCCATACCCACTGTATACCTAGCCTGCCGGACCTTTGCCCATCTCCACCTGCTAAAAAGAAAAAAAAAGTATACCCAGACCTACCCTACCTGAACCTCTTCAGCATGTAACTGGCCATACCTACCCATGAACATTTTTTTTCAAAACCACCCATGGCCACCTGAACCCAAACCGTTAGTTAGCCACCCATACCCTACCCTACCCAAGTTTTCTTTACCAGTACCCACCCGTACCTACCCATAATTGTCGGCACCCACCTGCAACCACCCGTGCTCATCACCCACCATCCCCTAACCGCCCCTAACCGCCCCTAACCGCCCCTTACTGTCCCTAACTGCCCTAACTGTCTCTAACCCCCCCTAACTGTCCCTAACTGTCCCTAACCGCGCCTAACCCCTGATTGTCCTTGACAGCCCCCAACTGTCCCCAACCCCCTGGACGTCACAGGATTGACGTGGTTATTTTTATTATTGTTAATATTATTATTATTATTATTATTATTATTTTTGAGATGTGGCAGCTGCTTCAGCTACTGCCGCAACAGCAACAGTTGTTACATCTGGTCACTTTGATGCTGCTATGGATGCATCTGGTGCTACAGCAGCCTATGCAACCTGTATAGCATCTGCAAATGCAACAACCCTCGGTCTGTCGCACACACAAATACACTCTCCACACACACACACACACACACATACACGCATACACGCATACACGCATGCGACATACACACATAAATGTTACATACACAGGGTTACACACATATGAATACAGTCTGAAATTTTGAAAAACAAAAAATAAAAAATTGAAGAGATATAAAATTCACCCTTGCGAGAAAAAATGTTTGCTTCATGGGAAAGCAAGAAATTTCGAATATGTGAAAAGTGTTACGCTTGAGCAAAAATACAAAGCCTGCAAAGCTACAAGACTCACATCGGGTATACCACGGTTACCCGATGGGAACCTCTACCCGCCTGTCTCCACCCCTTTTTTTTTTTGGCCACCCGTACCTGCCCATACCCATCTATTTTTTTTTCTGGCCGCCCATACCTGTTTTATTTTTCTTACCCCTACCCCTACCTGCCCCTACCCACCCTCGATCTCCAAAAAGGCCAATTGTGCCCCCCTAACAACCACCACCTTTTGTTTGTGCCTGCCCATACCCAACTCCCCCTTCGGAAAGGGTACCCATACCCGCCCATAACCAGGCGGTTACAGTTGGGTACGGCCGGGTACGGGCAACGGTTACCCATTTGCGTTCTCTGATAGTGACTGGTTACAATTCTGGAGGATGTGTGGTGGGAGAGGAGAGTATATTCGAGGCCATATGCAATTCACACACGGTGCACACATGGAGGGCATATGCTTCGCACACTGCGTAGGACCCTCTCGATGGTGGCTGTGGCAGTGTGGTATGCATACCCAATCCATGATACAAACACACACAACCTACGGGTTGTCCTGCTAACACCCACCTAACCAATAGGCTAAGCGGGCTAACTTTTTCTCCCGAATACAACGTACGGTCATTATATCTGTATCTAGACCGAAAGATGCCTCAAATACAGCTATAACGACCGTACGTTGTATTCGGGGGACGAAGGTAAGGAGAGGTTGAGGTGACCCCCAAGATGAGCAGTTCACCCACCCCAGCGGGGATTGCTCACTGACAGCCACACGGGTGTACCCAACCACACTCATCCAACACATCTCTCGGTCAGAGGTTTGGTGAAGTGATCACTTGGTGATTCTTGATGGGATGGGATGGATGACATTTCACTATCGCATTGTGTGATGATGCTTTGCAGACTCCAGTCTTGTGCCGCCATATGTGTACTCAGTGTTTGGCACCTCCCGGCAGCTGGCGATTGGACCAGTCGCCGTCGTGTCGCTCCTTTTGGGTGAACTCCTGACCAAAGAGTTTAAGCCTTACTTAGACAATAAGGGTATTCCAACGGATGTTGCAAAGTTCGAGAAGCAATGGAACCCTCAGTACGTCTACTTCGCATTCCTGGCAACGTTCTTTACCGGATTGATACAGCTCTCCCTCGGCATCTTCAGGTGCGCGTGCGTGTATCGTTTGCAAATCCACCTTTTTTCTTTTCTTTTTTAAGTTTTAAGTTTTAAATTAAATCCCACTCTGCATCGTTTGCAGTCCAGTTGATGGTCAGCTCTGTGAGAGAAGTGCAAATAGTCTGTTCGTGCCAACGGGCCTAGCGCAGTTGGTGGTACACCCACACTTTGAGTGGTGTTTGGGCCGGGGTCACATTTTGGGGTCAGATACGTAACCCCACTGAGGCAGCATGAGTTTTGTTGTGTGTTTGTGTTCGTTCTATTTGCAGTCATAATCTGAGGGCATACTCACACACTACCGTCCTCAGACCGAGTAGAACGCCCGGTGATTGTAGAAGTATTTGGTGCAATTTTCAGTTTAAATACAGCTATAAAGACCGGGCATTCTATTCAGGTGAGGACGGTAGCAGATAAAATTGCAAAATCACAAAATCTGTGTAACTTCGAGGGCCACACAGTCGCCGTATTTTGCAAATTCACGTATCTGCGTACATATATGTCAGCGGCCTGGGGATACAAGGGCATACACATTTTGCGGCGGCCACCTCTGGAGGTGCCCACAAAATGCGTATTGTTGTTTCCTGTGGTTTCTTTCCCTGTTCACTATTAGAATTTTGCGCCTCATGCTGTGTGACTGCAGGGTGTATAAATTCGCATTTGGATGACTGGTCGCCGTCGTGTGGCTTCTGTTTTGTGCTAGATGTGGGAGAGTTGTGTGACCAGGCGGTGCCCCATACGCGCGAAATGATAACACAAAATTTGCGATTTGATGTGCTAGTGTGACTGTGTGAGTAGGCCTTGAGTTATGTTATTTTTGTGACCTGTTTTTTTTTCTTTTCTTTTCTTTTTAATAGAAACATCCGGTGACGTTCTATGGAGCACTTTAGCAGTTAGCATCACGGTGCCATCACATCGACAGCTGCAACAGCAAACACGCGTCACGTTGATGCTTAACCACAACCCTGGTTAAGGTGGATTATCACTTAACAGTGTAATCAGTTAGGGGATTCTGCAGACTGTTGAGGGTTCAGCCTCCTCCTGATCAGTTGGTGAAACTCCGACGAAACAGTTTGTCACAGCCCCTCGTTTCTTGTCCTCTTCTCCCTCCCTCTCTGCCTACGTACGGTTTACCGCGCAGCTATATAACTTGTGCAAGTGTGCCACTTCGACGGTAGATGGGTGTGTGAACACTTGGTGCTTTACCACACAAACGTGGCCAAACTGTATCTTCTACTATATTGCCCATCTATACCTTTCTTTTGTTTCATGGATGGTTTGTGATGATTTGTGGATAGAATGAGAGAGGGAGAGGGTGTTTTTTTTTTTAAATTTTAAACACATATTGAATTTGTCTGCAATAGAGGTAAAGCTGCGTTGATTTGGGATGTACTCATCTGAGTGGAACAGGGGCTGTTGTGGTGAAAATCTTAAACACACACACACACACACACACACACACACACAGAGAGAGAGAGAGAGAGAGATTCTTCTTTTCTTCTCACCAACCTCCATATCTGCCTTCTCTCTCTACTTCTAGGGAGAGAGAGATAGAGATCAGGGGCTTGGCTACTATTCAGGGAAGCTTTGCCTTCAGGTTTGGTTCGGACATGACATTGTAACTGGAGATGACTGCGGGACTGGGAGATCACTCAATCTACTTCTTCCGCTTCCCACACTTCGTCTCCTCTCCCTTGCCTCCATCATCGATGGTGCTTCTCCCTAACTGTGGGCGTGCAAGGAGGAATTTCGTTTTTGTATGCTACTATGCTTCCATCTTTGCCTCTCTACATGTCTCGCATAAGCGGTTAACAGGGACCCCCACTTTTCAGCCCTGGTTAACCCCTTCAACCCTGAAAAGTGCATTGGAGATCATTTTTTCCATTTTTTTCTGTTTTTTTTCTTTTTCTTTTGCCCTGTTTTAGTTTTGGTCAAGGTCTGTGTGTGCCAAGTTTGTTGTTTGTTGGGGTCTTGGAGTTGACTGTTTTGGCTAGCCCTCCTGAAAAATCCTGAAAATCCTGAAAACTGAAAAGAGTGAATTTTGCATGAAAACACACTTTTGCCTTGCTGTTTTATAGGTTTCAAGTTTTTTTTTCATTTTTTTTAATTTGTAAGTAGTTAGTATGATCTCCACTCTATGAATTGGTGGCAAGTTTGGTTAAAATGACCCTTGGGTTTTGTTATAAATGGCCTGACAAGTGGTCTGAAAATTTTGAGGCCTCCCTTAATCGTCTCTCTCTACATGGTGACGAGGTATGCATGTGTTGAGTCATGAGTCACACTGCTGTCTTCCAGTCTTGTGCTGCTTCGCATTTGCTGTTTCTCCTCAGCTTGGTGATCACTTGGTCCTGCACCATGCCCAGATGCGCATAGGGATGTGACAGTGAGGGACACGTAATTCCATGGACCACCCCTGAACCCTAAACCAGGGATACATGAGAAGGGGGGGAGGAGGGGAGAGCGGGGGGGGAGAAGAATTCAGGTGTCACATGTCAGGGAGGGGGTACGCGTGCTTGCCTAGTTGAACGAGTATACAGGGGGAGGATGCAGCGAGTCCCAAGAGTCGTTGCACTACCTGATGTAGTCATCAACGGTCTCAATCTGCTGGCTAGTAATGACAAAGCCGATGGATAATGGAGATGGCTGGAGGAGGAGGTGTAGCTGATGGATAGTGGAGATGGCTGGAGGAGGAGGTAAATGATGGAAAGTTGAGATGGCTGGAGGAGGAGAAAGGAGGAATGCGATGGACAGTGGAGATGGCTGGAGGACGAGGAAATAGGAAGGCGATGGCTAGGGAAGGTAGGAAGTATCATATTATCAGGCGTCAAAAGGACGATACGTCGCGTTCCCAAGTGCGGCCCTTCTGCCTTGTCTCCTGAGCTATACTGATGCTAAGCAGAGTTTTCAGACTTCAGAACTGGGCAGGTTAATGCGGACGTAACTACAAATTTTGTAGACTTTGTATAGTTCCCATGGGACCAGAGTTTTTCCTCCGATTCTGAGATTTTGGTTAACAGTTGGGTTAAGAAATGAATGACTGGGTGGTGTTTTGCAGATTGGGCTTCCTTATCGAGTACATGAGTCATTCCGTTGTCGTTGGATTCATGGGCGGAGCTGCAGTGACGATTGCCGGGTCGCAGCTGAAGGGGCTCATTGGTTATAAGGATTACACGACCAAGTCAAACATTCAGAGCATTGTGAACAGTATTATCGACCATACTGATCAGGTATGCGACAAGTACGATGTGTTTATGCATCTGGTCACATGACTGGTACATAATACAACTGCAAGAAAAGAAAGACCTCTAAAGCCGGGCCTCAGAATGAGTGAGCAGGGGTGCACTTGTGTGATATGTCACCACAAATCTGGAAATCGTAGCCGATGCCACCGACTTGGGCTATAGGCATTGACATAGGCTATAGAGTAGTATACACTATAGGTGAGGCATTGGCATAGGCTATAGGCTACGGCTATAGGCTGTTGGCTATTGGCTATTGGCTATTGGCTATTGTCTTTGTTGTCATGAAAACGAGAAACACCAGTAAACACTGCCACTTTGTAGAAACCCTCGTTCCCCCGCGAGTGTTTTGCGCGGTCACTGGTTACATTGATCCACAACAAGCAAACCTGCGCTGTTCTGTTGGGAGACAGTCACTGTCATAGTACAGCAGAGGGAACGACAAAAGGCAGTGGAATCCTAAACCCTAAGCCCTGGACCCTAAACCTACCCTAACCCCACCTGACCCCACCCTAAACCCTAAACCAGGGAAAACGAGAGGCAGAGGAACTGCTGCAAAACCTTCAGCAAAGAGGGCTCGTGGAAGTTATGAAACCAACGTCACTAGGAGATAACTTAAGCCCCGTGATGTATCCGCATGGAAGCAAGGGGTGAATTTGCAGTAGGCTGGCGGGAGCCGAGCAGGCATGACGCATTCACACGGGAGCAGAACCACGTCAGGAAAGAGAGAGCGTTTTTTTAATGTATTCCGTTGAATAATCCTTTTGCTCTATATATAATTAAGCATGCTACATAATGAAGCATGCTATATAATGAAGCATGCTATATAATGAAGCATGCTATGTAAAAAAAAAAAAAAAAAAAAAAAAAAAAAAANAAAAAAAAAAAAGAGCGTACACATATGCCTTTTTCGGCCTTTTGGCTAAAATAGATCAAGTGTAGTATATCTGTTCTGATCAGTTTAATATCCGATCCATGGCCCATCGACCACATAAAAAAACAAAAAGAGAGCACACATACCAGTGCTTGAATAGGGGGAACGAGGCCGCAAAGTGGTAATATAGCACCTGAAGCGCAATTTGCGCTCTCGTCCGACCTGACAGTCGGAATCCCATTTCGGGATGAGAGCCTTTGGTGGAAGCGCTGCTGAACCATTCAGGTCGAATAGGACAGAGGGAGGATGATTAATGTGCCGTGCACTGCATCGAGTTGAGCATGCATAGTATTGCATACATTCACAATTTCATATTCTTGGAAAACAGACAAACAGTGGAGTGCCAAAAGCCGATTGGTGCAGTTCGTCACCACTCTGTTCTGCGTGTGTTATACGTGCGAGTTGCTGTACCCACTACGGCACAACTTTTTCGATAGACCGAAAAAGCGACCAAAGCGGAGCAATCAATGTGGAAACAGCAGGAGCCCCTCATGTCCCATTTCCTTCCGCAAGCAAAAGACGAGAACAGTGTATGTAGGAACAATAAGTGCGGCAATATGTTTTGTCTGTGACAATTGGGCGCAGGCCCCACTGGTGCATGTTCATGCTAAGAAGGCATGAACATTACCATGATTACGACCAGGATCATGCTTTTCCAAGCATGAACATAGCTCAAGTTGCGGCTGACCCCCTTAGTCTTGTGCACTGTTGCCTCGTCTCTTTCAACTTGCATGGGGCTGTGATTATGAAGTGATTATGAAGTGGTTATAAAGTAGTTATAAAGTAGTTATTAATTTATAAAGTAGTTATAAAGTAGTTAGAATGAAGTGGCTCTAAAGTTCTAAACTGGTCACAAAGTGGTTAGAATGAAGTGGCTACAAAGTGTTTACGAAGTGTTTACGAAGTGTTTACGAAGTGGTTAGGAAGTCGTTATGAAGTAGTTACGAAGTGGTTAAGTAGCCGCTAGAAGGGGTTCAAAAGTGGTAATGAAGTGGTTATGGAGTGCTAGGAAGTGGTTATGAAGTCACCCGCTCGCGCAGCCCGTGGCTGAGAGATGTGTTTCTCTCTCTTGCTGTACCAGGTTGCGACGACCAGAGCACCATTTTTGCCAAGATGGTATTGTGCATTAATAACAAACTTGATAGTCTACAAACTTACAAATTGGTTTGAAAGTGTTTTGAAAGTGCTTTTAAAGTGGTTATGAAGTGGTTATAAAGTCCTTTGCTGTACCATTTGCATGTGCCTGTGATGAACTCTTGTCTTGTGGTTCTGCCTCCTTGCAGTTCAAATGGGAAACGTTCGTATTGGGAATGGTGTTCCTCACGTATTTGTTGATCGCCAAGTTTATGGTAAGTAGGAATCAGCTTGCAGTACTTTGCCACTGCTCATCTGGAACAGTAACACCTACCGTTTTCACCTGAACAGTATAGCTGTACTTGGTGCAAGTTTCAGTCTAGATGCAGAGACAGTGACCGTGTGACGTGCGTTCTATTCGGGTAAAGATGGTAGTCTGAGAATGTAAGTTCAGTCCATGTGCTGTTTCTGAAGGACCTTAAGGAGGAAATAAATATAGTTGACAAAATGTGGAATGAGCCCACTCTTGAGAATACTTTTTTTTTTTTTTTTTTTTTTTTTTTGGGTTGTTGTTGTTGTTTGAAAACAGGTCCTTTCTTTTTTGTCTTGAGATGGCAATTCTTTCCTGATATGGGCGATATTTTGGTGCATACTTTCCATTTTTTCGTCTCTGGAAAGTTGTATAATAAATTAATAATACCCTAAGGTCAGCGCGGCAGCGCCCTTAAAAATATATATATATATCCTGATGAGTCGGTGAAACTCCGACGAAACAGTTTGTCACAGCCCCTCGTTTGTTGTCCTCTTCTCTCTCTCTGCCTACGGTTTACCGGGCAGTTCTGTTTGTGACGATATATATATAAATGACGATATATATATAAAATAAAATTGTAAATCCATTTTGTCCTCGTCGCTCCTCTTCTTTTCTTTGCTCCTTTTCCCCCTGCTTTATCGTGCTTTTTTGTTTTTTTTGGTCATGTTGGAGAAACCAAGGCTCCTTCTTGTCTGGGGAGCAGCAGTCCGGTTCCTTTTCCACCGGCAAGTCAAAACATGATACAAATCGTACTCACGCACCGCCCCTCCCCATTGTGGCAGGGCAGGTCAGAGTGGACGGCATTGATTACTTCACTTGGGAAGGATATACCACCCCGCCCCCCTGTCTAAGCTGGCCTCATACTTATAAATTTCCAACCCTTTCCCACTCCCCCTTCGGTGGGGAGGGGACCGAGGGCCGCTTGTGCCCCCTGTGCCGGTACCAGTGCCATACAGCCCTGGCCCCCGGGATACCCTGGGGCGGTGACAATCCAGATTGATTAGTGATTGCAGTCCCAGGCGGACGGCCACACCCCCACATACACCTCCCTGTGACCTGCTGTGTTTGTGGTCGCCTAAACCCTAAACCCTAAACCCTAATCCCCTGTGCTACCTGTTGTCAGGCCTGCTGTGTTTGTCGTCGCTCTACCCTAAACCCTGTATCCTCTGTGCTACCTCCTGTCCCCTTGGCCTCATGTCCATGTCAGTATGTGGTCTTCTCGGGCCAGGGCCAGGCTGATATGTGATCCTTGCCAACGGGGAGATCCCTGTGCGGCATCTGCTCCCGAGTGCTCGCCTGCTTGTATATAGGCATTGATCTTCCCAGCCAGCCTCAGCACCTAGCCCTGTACTAATATGCTCTTCTGGCCAACAAGTGGTTAAGCAGGCGATGGTCAGCAGCGGCCATGCGTCAGTTCGCCGACCTCTGCGCAATCTGCAACTCCGCAATCCCGGAGGACCTGGCCCTCTGCCTCATGTTCTGCCCTAAAGCAGAGCAGCTGTGGACGAGAGTAGCCACTTTATGGGGATCCATCACTGATACATCATTCGCCGACGACCGTTCACTCGGTTCACGGGGCTCAGGGCACCGGCGCTCCCAGAGATATGGCTGTGCACTCTCTTCCGGATGCTCTGACCCCTTACGCTCTGGATAATTTGGAAGAGAAGAGATGTAAGGAGATGGTCAACGCACAAATCGTCCTGATGGCTGAGTCGTGGGAGACCCTCACGCAGTTGCCACAGGTTGAATACCAATCAGATTGGCACAAAACAGCCAAGCTTATCAATCAGGATCCCGCCAAGAGCCAGTACATCATAGCCAAATTTAACAGGGAACGCCTCTCACTGGGTACCCTGCTTCATCATGCTATTTTGTTTGTCCAGGAGGAATTCCAGCCCCAGATTCTCCCCTCTTTTATGGCTCAGATATGCAACGCCACTCTCCTCGAACACCGGCCATGCTTCTTCCACCTCGGCTGAGCATCGCTAGGCGAGGTACAAGGCTGAATCGCACAATTACAACAGGTATAACGTGCCCATACCACCAGAGCCAGTCAGCAGCGCACAAGGAATGATCTTTCCACTAGCCAAACCTCCTCCCTTCCAGCGCCGCTCACCTCCAACAACGGCCGCGCTTCGACTACCTCAGCTCAGCATTGCCAGGCGAGGTATGAGGTTACTTCTCTGATACCAAATTGCAATCGACGCACTACCTTCTTCGCCGGAATACAACATACGTCGTACGGTCGTTATTGCCGTATTTAGACTGAAAGATACCCCAAATACGTACAGCTATAATGACTTCACGACGTACGTTGCATTCTGGTGTAGAAGGTAGTTCACAGTTCCCACATGATGCATGAACTCAATTCGCAATTTCGCACATTGTTTGTCGCTAAAGCTGAACTAGCAAGTACACTAGAGCATAGACAAAGCTACAGAAGAATAGGAGAGGAGAAGGAAAGATTTCAATAGTATCAAGGAAGGAAATCTTCACGGGTCTTCCACCCTCCTCCGGACCTCCAGGCTTCTTCCTCTCTCTGCTCGCTACCTCAATTTTCCAACCTTACCCTCTACAGATGATCAAGTTGACATTCCTCCCAACAGCAGCCACTCACCAGTACGCCAGTCAGTCCTCCAGCGTTCTGTCATCGGGCGCTATGGGTGCTGATGCGCCAAATCCAGCACCGCTGGTCTCCTGAACCAAAGCGATCTCTCTCCAGCAACAATCACTACCAGGTAAGTCAGTTTTGCCTCCCTGCATACTCTCTCTCTCTCTCTCTCTCTCTCTCTCTCTCTCTCTCTCTCTCTCTCTCTCTCTCTCTCTCTCTCTCTCTCTCTNTCTCTCTCTCTCTCTCTCTCTCTCTCTCTCTCTCTCTCTCTGTGTGTGTGTGTGTGTGTGTGTGTGTGTGTGTGTGTGTGTGTGTGTGTGTGCTTTTGTGTATCTGCCTGTTTGTCCACCTGCCCATCTCCTGTTTTGAGTCTTTGTGGTGTTCTGGATCTTGGATGACTTCTCTCACAACACTGTTGATGTCAACTTCTGCCTGTCTTTATCTTTATTTCCAGGCCAAGAAAAACAAAAAATTCTTCTATTTTGCTGCCACGGGGCCATTGGTGTCTGTTGTACTTTCAGCGGCATTTATCAAGGTGACTGGGATAAAGCGTTATCGTGTGAAAACGGTAAGAATTATGCTACTACCTACATGGCAAACACTCTTTAGCCCTATGCTCTCTGAAATTGGCTGGTGCTACACAGTTACGTTTGGATTCCGTGTTCCGGTCCTTTTCCCTGGCTTTCGGCGATTCTTTGATGTTTTTCGACTCGCGTCTTTCTCACCATTTGGACAACAATTGAAACCGGATGCAATGCAGGACACCGCGAATTTGTTTGAGTTTATAACTTTATATCAATCCTTGGAGGAGCGCTCCATCTGGGAACTCATGCAATGTCCGATACTTTATGATTTATTTTTTTATTTTTTATTTATATATATATTTTTAACACTCTGACCATTTCCTGGGCTACTAGGGTTGCCCGGGTGTGGTAGCCCGGACCACCAAGACGAGAGCCCGATCCAGCCTTATAAGTTATATTTGAATTTGGTGGTGTCTCATCTTTGGGGGTCTGAATGGTAGTAAGTACTATAAACAGGTTGTAGACACCGAAAGGGATTTGCATGACCTTAAATGGCTGCGCTTAGTGCGCTATGATTTATTTTATTTTATTAATTGATGAGGACATTTGAACTTTGAAGTTTGAAGTGAGTTTCAGCCAACAGTTGCGGCAGGCTGCAATTTTGCAGAAGATGTGGTTTAAGGACTTCCACTGCTGCTGTTGCTCCTTCGCACATTCACACGGCCAATCCGAACTTGGCTTCTATCTTGAGAAGAAGTTCTACCTTCCCAAAATGTTGTTGAGTCAGGCAGATGTGCAGGTGCCCCTTGCTCAACCGTAGAAATCAAGGGAGCCCTGCAGCGGCCAACGCAGTTCTCGGCCCTGCAGCGGCCAACGCAGTTATCTGAACTTCTCTCTAAATAGTGAATAGTAAAGTAACTAAATACTAAATAGCTTTTTTTAACTTCTTTTTTCTATTGGCCTGTTCCTGTGCTCCTTCCTGTCATCTGTCTAACAACTGTAACCTTCTCTCATTCCTTTCTCCCCCTACTTTCACTCTCGTACTCCCTTTTTCGTACTCTCTTGGAATTTGACGGTAGTTATGGGCAACAAGCCGCAAAAGGATACTAAACCGTGGGCGAGGTAGAAGGGTGATGTTAGAGTAATTGCTTTGTGGTTGTGGGACAATTGCATGTCATATTGTTTCTACCACGCAGCGTTCTCCATGAGGGAAGGTCTAACACGATGTGCCAATTTATTTTGATATGTGTTTGTGTGTGTGTTGCATAATATCACCACCACAGCCCTTGTTCCACCCAGATGAGTAGATCCAATTCTGATGCAGCTCTACCTCTATTGCTGACAATGAAGCACGCATGAGATGATCCATTCCAACGCCGAAACAGCGTTACCTTTATAGCAACAAGCAACCTGGAGCAGAATGTCTGTGTGTGTTCTCATGTTTGCTATTCACAACTCCACAATTTAAAGTATGACTGTGCCACACTTTGTCGTTGGACTTTCACTGAGTGTTTTGAACCGTTTTCCCTTGTTTGTTTCCCCTATTATAGTTTTCACTTGTGTTTTTTCTCACTAGTTTTTTCGCACTTGTTGTTTTTCACTTGTTTTTTTTTCACTTGTTGTCTGGTGGCAGGTCGGAAACTTTCCTAGTGGGCTGCCTCCATCATCATTTGAACACTTCGACTGGGGTCTGACTGGAAGAGCATTGAAAGTCGCAGCCATCGCCGCGTTCGTTGCATTAACAGTATGTTATTCTCCCTGTCGGCCAGATTCCCTTCTGGGGAGAACCGGGAGAAGCTCTCTCTCTCTCTCTCTCTCTCTCTCTCTCTCTCTCTCTCTCTCTCTCT